TTTTATTAACATATATATAGTAAATAAAATATATAAAGTACATAAAGTAGATATATATATATATATATATAGTAATTTTATTAATATATATAGTAAATAAAATATATAAAGTACATAAAGTAGATATATATATATATATAGTAATTTTATTAACATATATATAGTAAATAAAATATATAAAGTACATAAAGTAGATATATATATATATATAGTAATTTTATTAATATATATAGTAAATAAAATATATAAAGTACATAAAGTAGATATATATATATATATATAAATAAATAAATTAAATAAATTAAATTGAATTAAATATAAAATATAATATAATAATATTATATATAATAATACAAGAATAAAATGATAATATAATATAATATCATATATATATAGTAATTTTTATTAACATATATATAGTAAATAAAATATATAAAGTACATAAAGTAGATATATATAGTAATTTTAATTAACATATATATAGTAAATAAATTATATAAAGTACATAAAGTAATATATATATAGTAATTTTTATTAACATATATATAGTATAAAATATATAAAGTACATAAAGTAGATATATATATATATATAGTAATTTTATTAACATATATATAGTAAATAAAATATATAAAGTACATAAAGTAGATATATATATATAGTAATTTTATTAATATATATATAGTAAATAAAATATATAAAGTACATAAAGTATATATATATATATATATATAGTATTTTTTAGTAATTACTATATATGTAGTATTTTTTCCCAGCACTGGGATCCTTTAGATGGAAGAATTGCCTCCTTTGTAGTAGAAAGGGTGCATCTACATAGTGGAATTAACGCGGTTTGATACCAGGTTGGCTGCTATGGAATCATAAATGTGCAATTTGGGAAGGGGGGCAGAGAAAGCAAGAATCATTCAATTTGTATTTTGCATTTTGCATTTTGCATTTTGCACTGCACTGCATTGCATTGCATTGGCATTGCATTGCACCCAGGCAGCTTCCACCAGTGGAGTCCCAACATCTCCCCTGCAGACTACAAGTCCCAGGATGCCCCGCGAGCCCTCGATCATGTGACCACTGGGGAGCTTCTTAAGCAAAGGCAGGTGAGAGGCGTTGCCTGCTGATTGGAGAAAGAAGGCGGCTTTGCAACAGAGCCCAACTTTACTTTTGGGAACAGGAGGAGGAAAAAAGTCAAGATGATGCCTGTAAGTCATTAGATTCATATTTTACTGTATTATTGATATAAACATTGGAGTTCACATTGGGAAGCCCTAATGGCAACAGCTAAGGGTGCATCTACACTGTGGACTTAACCCAGTTTGATCCCCACTTCCCCTTCCACTTTAACTGCCTTGGGAGTTGTGTTTTGGGGAGGCCCCTTGGGCAGAAGAGGCTTTGCAAAACTGCAACTCCCAGCACCCCAAAGGATTGAGCTCAGGGAAGTTCAATGCGGTGCTAAACCGCATTTATTTTACAGTGTAGATGCCTAGGCCGGGAATGACTCCGAAGCAACTGTTTTGGGATGAGATCTGCTCTGAAGAAAAATCAGACAACCGTATACATTTATTATTTTACATTTATTATTATAATATTATTATTATTTATTACATTTATTATTTTTCTCTATTATTGCTATTATTACATTTTATTATTTTACTCCTTTATTATTATTGCATTTATTGTTTTTCTTTATTCCATTTATTATTTTGCTTTATTATTATTACATTTATTATTTCACTCTGATATTGTTATTACATTTATTATTTTTCTCTGTTATTATTACATTTCTTATTCTTCCCTATTTATTTTTGTCATTACTACATTTATTATTTTACTCTATTAATGTTATGATTACATTTTATTATTCTTCCCTATTATTGTTATTCCATTTATTATTTTACTCTATTACTACTTCATTTATTATTTTGCTCTATTTATTATTATAATTACATTATTATTATTTTACTCCGTTATTATTCCATTTATTATCTTACTCTATTATTACATTTATTATCTTACTCTGTTATTACATTTATTACTTTATTATTATTCCATTAATTATATCACTCTATTTGCTACTTTTGCATGTATTGTTTTACTCTATTATTATTATTATTATTATTACATTTACCATTTCACTCTATTATTATTGTTATTACATTTATTTTACTCTGTTTATTATTATTACATTTATTGTTTTATTCAACATTCATTGTTATTATTCCATTTATTATTTTACTCTATTTATTATTGTTGTTATTACATTTATTAGTTATCTGTATTATTGTTATTACTATAATTATTACTTTACTCTATTTATTATTATTCCATTTATTATTTCACTCTATTTGTTATTTTACATGTATTGTTTTACTCTTTACTTATTATTATTATTATTATTATTATTACATTTACCATTTCACTCTATTATAGTTATTGCATTTATTATTTTACTCTTCTTATTATTATTACATTTATTATTTTACTCTATTATTACATTTATTATTTCACACTGATATTGTTATTCCATTTATTATTTTACTCTGCTTATTATTGTTATTATTCCATTTATTATTTTACTATATTATTATTACATTTATTATTTCACTCTGATATTATTATTATTGCATTGATTATTTTACTCTATTACTGTTGTTATTACATTTATTAGTTTTCTCTAGTGTTAAATAATAAAGTATTATTATTGTTATTATTACATTTATTACTTTACTTTATTTATTATTATTCCATTTATTATTTAACTCTATTATTTTACATGTATTATTTTACTCTATTATTATTGTTATTACATTTATTATTTTTCTCTGTTTATTATTATTATTATTGCATTGTTTTATTCAACCTTCATTGTTATTATTACATTTATTATTTTACTCTATTTGTGACTATTGGAAGGATACATAAGCACATTTACATTGAAGAAGGTTAGAATAATGATTTAATTGGCGTTAGACAGTGTTACCTTAAATTACACGGAGCCTATGGTGGCGCAATGGGTTAAACCCTTGTGCTGGCAGGAATGAAGATCGACAGGTCGGAGGTATGACTCCTGGGAGAGTGTGGATGAGCTCCTTTTGTCAGCTCCAGCTCCCCATACAGGGACATGAGAGAAGCCTCCCACAAGGATGGTAAAACAGGACAGAAAGAAGTAAATAAATAAATGAAAGTTTATTAAAGTACAAAAACTTTGGCTTTGCAGGAGGGACATCCTGCCATAGCACATTTTGCTCTAGTTTTTCAGTGACTATCTCATCATTGAGCCTCAACTGATTCAATCTAGCTTGCGGCAGCCACAAAAATGAAGTTTCTGGTCCTTTCAAAGTAAGGGCCGCGCAGTGAAACAGGAAATAACACTTTCAAATCAGGAACAGAAAAAAAAATACATATTTACATAGTGGAGCCCTTGCTGGCGCACTTGGTTAAACTGCTGAACTTGTTGCAGTTTCAGATCCGGGGAGCGGGGTGAGCTCCTGCTGTCAGCCCCAGCTTTTGTCAACCTAGCAGTATGAAAACATGCAAATGTAAGTAGATCAATAGGTACCACACTGGTGGGAAGGTAACAGCACTCTATGCAGTCATGCCAGCCACATGACCTTGGAGGTGTCTATGGACAACGCCGGCTCTTCGGCTTAGAAATGGAGATGAGCGCCAACCCGCAGAGTCGGACATGACTGGACTTAATGTCAGGGGAAAACATTTACCTTTACAGTATAGTAATATATAATAATATTGTGCTATGGTAATAATATAATGTATTGTATTTACATATTACTTGTAAGCCACTCTGTGTCCCCTTCGGAGTGAGAAGGGCGGCATATAAATGTCGTAAATATAAATAAATAATAACTAAAATTTTAAAAATATGATATAATAATAATATAAGAATACAACAATAATAATAATATAATATAACATATTTAGTAATTTTATTAACATATATATAGTAAATAAAATAGTATATAAAGTAGTAAAGTAGAAAATAAATAAAATAAAAATATATAATATAACAATATTATATATAATAATAATAATACAATAATACAATGATAATATAATATAATAATATCATATATATAGTAATTTAGAATGAGAAGGTAAGGGCGCTCCATGCAGTCATGCTGGCCACATGACCTTGGAGGTGTCTACGGACAACGCTGGCTCTTTAGCTTAGAGATAGAGATGACCACTAAACTCCAGAGTTGGACACGACTGGAATTAATTCCCTTAGAATGAGAAGGTAACGGCACTCCATGCAGTCATGCTGGCTAAATGACCTTGGAGGTGTCTATGGACAACGCTGGATCTTTGGCTTAGAAATGGAGATGACCACTAACCCCCAGAGTCGGACATGACTGGACTTAACTTCAGGGGAAAACTTTTACCTTAGAATGAGCTGGTAACAGCACTCCATGCAGTCATGCTGGCCACATGACCTTGGAGGTGTCTATGGACAACACCGGCTCTTTGACTTAGAAATGGAGATGAGCACTAACCCCCAGAGTCAGACTTAACGTCAGGAGAAAACCTAGTGGGATAAAGGCACGTATTGGGTTTTCAGCCAGGCTTGAGCATCACGTGGTCCTCCAAATGCAATTGGACTACAACTCCCATCAGCCCCCAACCCTGCAAAGCCAGTGATGAGGGACTCTGGGAGCTGCGGGAGAGCTGCGGGATTTCCATCCCGTCAGATGCAAAGTGGTATGACACTAGGCATGGTGTAGATGCTTTTGCGTGGGAGTGAGTTCTGCAGAAACTCAAAAACAGGTCTCACTTCCCTTTAGGAAACCGCTGCCATTGGTTTGGCTGGAAAGGAAAGTGAGTCAGTGGATCTTGACACAGACAGTCAGCAGATAGGCATATGCCATTGCATTCGGCAACAGCGTAGTTGGGAAACGGCAATGTTTAGTGGCAACAGCTCAGACCCACAACCCAGTTCTGCAGGGTGACAGCATGCTTTCAATTTGAGGGGCATCTACACTGTAGGATTGGTGCAGTTTGGCACCCCTTGACTTGGTAGTCGCATCAACAACAACATTGAATTGAGACCATTGCGTCCAGTAGAGTTCTGCACTGAATCAAAGGCATCTTGCCGAGAAGACCTCGTAAGAGGTTCGCCTTAGAGTTGCAACAAATGGAGACACACAATAATCAACCTTTCCTGTACTATGGATTCTGACTCCCATGAGTCTTCATCTGGGGCTGATGGGAGTGACAGTCCAACAACACTGAGAAGAGTGTTGACATCGCAACTTCTAGTATTTCTAGCCGTTGCCAAGTTAGGCTAGTGTTGAGTCGCCGAAAGGCTGAGAAAGGTGGTATACAGATCTATATAAATAAAAATGTAATGTTCGTTTGTGGGATTAACAGAACTCAAAAACCACTGGGGGAATTGACACCAAATTTGGACAGCATACCACTAACAGTCCAATGTATGTCCTTGACTCAAAAAAATTGATTTTTTCTCTTGTTGTAGTTGCTGGGATTTGTAGTTCACCTACAAACAAATAGCATTCTGAACTCCACCAATGATAGAATTGAACCAAACGTGTTTTAGTGTGGTGAGATGTGTTCCACACTGGGCATGCGTACTCAGCAGCAGAGTAGCACAGCGCAAGGGCAGATGTCTTCACTGTATCTGGTTGTGATCCCCAGGTTGTGCCAGTCAGCTTTTGTATGATATTGTTTCTAGCACCCACTTTTTGCTTGATGTTCAGGCAGTGCTTCTTGTAGGTAAGAGCACGGTCCAGAGTGACTCCCAGGTATTTGGGTGCGCTGCAATGCTCCAGTGCAGTGTTTCTCAGCCTTCCTAATGCCGTGACCCCTTAATCCAGTTCCTCATGTTGTGTTGACCCCCAACCATAACATTATTTTTGTTGCTACTTTATAACTGTAATTTTGCTACTGTTATGAATTGTCATGTAAATATCTGATACGCAGGATGTGTTCTTATTCACTGAACCAAATTTTGCACAAATACCCAATACGCTCAAATTTGAATACTGATAGGGTGGGGGGGGGGTTGATTTTGTCATTTGAGGGTTGTATTTGCGGGGATTTATAGTTCACCTACAATCAAAGAGCATTCTGAACACCACCAATGATAGAATTGAACCAAACTTCCCACACAGAACTCCCATGACAAAGAAAAAATACTGGAAGGGTTTCGTGGGCACTGACCTTGAGT